GGCGGCTCCAGTGGAGTTTCCCACTGAGCCAGGCGGAGCCCATGGGCGCCATGGGTTTAATCGGAGTGAACCAGAAAGCGGGTCCTTTCCCTTTGGCGTGTCTGCCATAACTGAAGGCTTTTGGGGTTCCATGACCTGGGGAGGTGGCACAATTTCCGCGTTTGGTTTTGGTCAATCCTCTTGCCTTGACGGGGATGGTGTCATCCAGCTTCGCGGCGTCATATTGACATATTGACGGAATCAGTCAACCCGTCGGTTGTACAGCCGGGTGTCTCGTTCGGGATTCTTCACTCTTGGGGGCGACCCGAACAAATGCGGCAGCTTTGGTCTTTCCCGGGGTCGACATTAAAGGAACTGCTTCACAGCTGCCCTCTTGATAAAAACCGGGTTGAAAGCCGCCCGGGCCTTTGGAGCCGCAAGCCGAAGAGAGAGCTCGGTTTCTGCTCTGCGGAACCGCAGATGGATCCAAAAACATCCGCAGGGCTGGTGGACTCGAAGCCACAAGCTTTCTTCGGAGGTTGGGACTTTAACCTTGATCCAACTCATGGGTTTTCCGTAAAAAAAAAAAAAAAAAAAAAAACCGGAAAGTGTTTCACCTTTGAGCAGATTTCGCAACCGAGCTTGGAGGTCCACCCCAAAACCCACATCGCCTTTGTCAGGTGAACTACCGCCAAGGAGGCAGCGATCATCGACCTGTCATGCTGGAGGCGAGGACCCATGAAAAACAAACACCTGACGTGAAACAGACGCCATCCGCAAATTGGTTTCATTTGTTTTGAATGAAGACCCAAACCCAGTACTTGTATTCCTTTTGAATAAACACCTGCATGAGATGTCCGCAACTTGGAGTCATGTTTCACGTCCTTGCAGAAGCCCCCAAAAAGAAGGCCATATGCATCGAAGCGTGGCAGGATGCCAAGCAAGCCCATCCATTTCTTCTCAGCTTCCCAAGAGAGACCACGTTACTTCCTATATGTTTGTCCAGCCAAGGTCCTGCCCTGCCCCCGTTTTGGAGGTTTTGAACATCACCAGTTGAAAAGGCCCGCTCAAAGTTTTTTCAGTGAGCCTGGAAGCGGGTGAAGGATCAAGAAACCTTGAGTTGGGCCACTTTGATTGAAGGTAAGCAGGGGGTCTCCAACGCGCCGACGCTGAGGCGGTGCTGACGTTGCTGCCGGAAGAGCCCGAGCGGGCGAGCGAGTCTCGGGTTTCGGCGTCCCCGGCATTGCTGGAGGTGGGCAAAAGGGGCAAACAGATTTTGGATGATCTTGTGGGGCTGGATGACCTTGCAGGGTAGCTGAGGGGAGAAGAGACAGTTGTGGGGAAGGCGCTGACTTCCAGATCCTCAGTTGCCCAAGCAAAGAGGAAAAGCGACTTCGACATAAAAGAAAGCCGCCCATGCTCACGTAATCTTACTTGGAGGCGTCTTGATCTCAGGTGGACAAAGTACGGCAGCTCCGCTACAAATTGTCGGAGCCCCTGGAAGTTTAAATCCCCTGTATCAAGGAATGGGTTGTGCTCAGACCACTCTGTCTACAATGGATTGACCGGCAACAGCCCAAGTGAGCCGACTGCACCGTCCCCAGGCACCGGCAAAGTTGGTTGTCATGAGAAAATGTTTGTGTACGCTTAGTTGAAGCTATTTGCTGGCTACGTCTTGCTCTGGGAAAAGTGGGCCATGTGCTACACGCGTGTTTTGAAGGTTTGCTTAGGACCGATTTGTGCAATCTATGTCGCCAATTCATTCAGGTGCACAGCAGGAAACAGGTATGGTAAAGCTTGGTCTTGGCGCAGGCTGTGATGCTGGCCGATGCCGAAGACAGCGATTCAGGCAGGGTGCACTCTTGCCCCAGCACGTTGTGAACTCGTTGGCTAGGCCTATGGAGTGAACAAACCAGCACTGTTCTTGGCCAATGCTTTTCAGTTGTAGTTTTCTGTTCACTTTGGGTCGGAAATGAAGAAGTCCATGCGCTTTGTGAAGTTCAGGGCCCAAGATCTAGAGTTCCTTTAAAATCAACATGCCAGAAAAAGAAGAAACAAACAGATACCGTGGTTCCAGTGAGAGGAGAACCTGGTCTGCTCAACGGCCTGGCCTGCGCGGCAACTCTCGCCCAAGTTTGCGACTCGGGGTGGGGCCCTCCCTCCCAGGCTGCCATGGCACCTGGCAAGGTACCCTCCTGGTGCCTTGCTCGTGAGGAAAGATGGGAATTGTGTTGCAACCCGGTCGCTCACTTGAATGGTGTCAAAGGTAAGACGGTGACACTCGTGCTGCTTAAGGATTTAAAATGAGCCGTCCCCAAAAAGAAGGAACCGCAAAGGCTATTTCTGGGCTCGCGTTGCGCGGACTGTTGCCTTGGTCTCCGGTGGAAATGGTTGTCTTCGGTCGAGGCGTTTCGCACATCACCCGATTCAGTTTGCAAGCCATGCCTCAATGGTTGCGGGCAATGACGGGACAAGCATCGGGCGTTTGCAACAAGCATTGGGCGCCAATGGCGCAAAGCTGCGAAGCTCTTTGCTTTTCGCCAGGCCAGCGGCGCTGCATCCTCCCTGTCTGGTTGGCTTCAACGGTCCGGTCCTTGGACTACGGCCTATGACATGCTGGAAGGTTGGGTTAGCTGTTGTGGCACCAAGGGAGCTCCCTTCGAATTGATAAAGTAAACCACTGTGGCACTAGGGTAATTTTCCGCCGGCCAAGGGGGACGGAGCAACTCGCCAGTTGTATTTGCCATTCGCGGGTTGCCGCAGGCAGTCTCAAAGCGCGGACTGGGATCCTCCCAAAATTTCCGCGGGACGAGGTACCATCTGCTTGCGAAGTTGAGGTCAACATCCCGAGCTACCTGAAAGGCGAGCTGTAGATTAGTTCGAAAGTTACGGCGCCCTGTGAGTCTGGCACCAGCCGTGGTCAAGGGGCGGGGAGCAGTCATCTCTGAATGAGAAGTGTAAACAACGCAACTGTCCAAGATTCATCAACCTCTTCATGTTTCTAAGATCTAGGCCTGCCCCGTGACCCAGAGTTTGACCATGACGCGGTGCACTGTTCCTAGAGCTTCGGGAAACGAAAGCCGCCAGGGACGAGCAAGCGGTCCTCAGACGGAGCATTCAATTCGGAATCCGACTGAAAAAATCAGCAGAGAGCGCGCACCAAGCGTTTGACATCGTTTGACTCTTCGGCTCCCAAGTTGAATAAGGGCATGAAACAGAAGGATCCTATGTGTACCTTCTCGGGCGCAAATTTGACGAGTGCAACTGGCGCAATCTCCAGAAGTTCTTTCGCCGACTGGCTCAGAAATTCGGCCTGCCCAAAGCATGCCGCAAACCTTAGCAAAGCTTTAGCAACAGGACGAGCTGTCAGGCTGTCAGGTATGAACCGAGGCGAACTTTCAACCCTTGCAATCTCCGAAAGCCTGAGATGTGCGCACCTTTCCCCCAGTTCCTGGGCATCTCTTTCCCCGTGTTTGGCGGGTTCCCCGCAAAACATGGACAGCCCCCCAAAAGAGAGAGAGTCCCGGTGCCCTTTTTCTGCCACTGGCGTTGCCCTTGTGTGGCCGTTTGGCGCCATGTCCGGTTATGCCGATGAGTCAAAGGTCCGCCCCAGTGCCGTCGTTAAGCTGACAGAGGGCGGGGCCGGCATTGTCTTCTGGCGAGCTTTTGTATGAGACAGCAAAAAGTGATCCAGATCCGCTCTAAAATGGGTTGGGTACCCCCAGATCTACCAGAGATTGATTGATCAACTGGGCTCGGTGCAGGGCGGCCTCTTAGGATGGTTAATGAGTTAGGCATAAAGATTTTCTCTTGTGAGAAAGATACGCAGGTGGCCCGAATACTGGCACCTGGAAGAAAGGCTCATACAAACACACACGGCAAAAAGGAAGCTCCAGCAATACTAAATTAAGTGTAACTTGAGTCCACATTAAATCAAAAGAAAGCTGAAATCAAATCTTAAAAGGAAGCTTTGAACTGGACCGCTACATGTTGATCTTGACGCCTCCTTTGTTGCGGGGTGGGAGACCTTTACTACTCGCCGTTTTGGGGGGGCCAGTTGAAGTAATGCTCCGTTTGGAAGGGGGGTGGGGGGGGTCCAGGGCCCGGCGCAGGAACTGGTCCTGGAACTGGGCCAGAAGGCCTGCAACTTGCCTGCTCACCCCTTTTCAGTCTGGGCACATGTGACAGCCGGGCAACGGTGGGACTTGGGCTTATCAGAAATGCACAAAACATATGGAGAGAGAGACAGAGAGGGACAGAGATTAGATAGCTAGAGGGATACTTGTAGACTGCCAGAGATGGGTGGATTGGATGCATGGATGGACTATGAATACAAAGTGTATACACATATGTATATGTATGTATATATATATATATGTATATATATATATGTGTGTGCGTGCATGTCCGGACATGGTTACCATCACACAGTTGTTCCTTTCCAGAGCTAATCCAAGAGAGAAAAGCCTTGAATATGGAAACGAGTTGCGGAAGGGCATGGAAGGAGTTGTGGAAGGACCTATAGCAGGTTGGGTCACTGAAGGTCGGAAAACACACAGAAGCTCTCAGAATCTTTTGACTGCACGTGTGGAAGCTGTGAGCCTAGAGGGCGTGGTGTAAGGTTTGCCTTCCCGAATCTAGTTTCATGAACCGGTTTGTTTGTCTCCGCTCAAACGATGTTGATTTAAATGTGTGTCTTTGTCCACATCCTTCAAATGCTAGAGTAGTCCTGTCCTTTGGCCATTAGTCCCAGGGCTCGTCGCGTGTGATATTCTGATGAATCACCCATTCGGAAACAGAATTTGAGTTTTAGGTTTAACTTTGCCCGAGCTGCAATGAAGCCATGTGCGTCCAATGATTGTCATTCAAATGATCGTCACGATTTGATGACGGGTATGTTGGCCGTTCCAGAGTATTCAGACAGCTTAATTACTTCCCACCACCCTGCATATGAACCCATGGCCTTGTGAAAATCCTTTTTAGCAGCTGCTGTCCCGTAATTAAGCATGGAGTAATTGATG